AACCCTTAATTAAGTTCTTTACAAATACAGCAATTTAACACACCTCTTCATCTACTTTTGGCTGACCATCAAACCGTAAGAGCACAGGTAATATGTATGAGTCATCAGCCTGGAAGCAACCAGAAATTTAGACAAGGATGGTTAGGGCAATAAGAATTTAACTGGAGGCAGTAAATAACAAGCCAGAAAATTTTTAATTTCTTGAAAGCATGTTATTCAAGGATGTAGAAAAATATGTCTACATTACCACAAAAAATAAATAAATAAATTTGAAGAAGAAGAAGAAGAAGAAGACAAAAGAAAGAAAGAAAATTGGTGGGACGTAGACAAACACAATATATGCACACAACACAAAAACATCAAAGCATTCATAATGAAAATAATCCGGATAAAAAGAAAGATTAGTTCTTTATTGGAAGCATAACTATAAAGCTTTGAAATCAAACTTCAGAAGTTAAGACATTCCTTGAATAATAAAGGAGTTAATAAAAAAAGACTCTGAAAAGAGAAAAATATCAGTGACCAAAGGACTGAGAAACTAAAACAACAATCATAAATAGCTCCTTTTTTTATGTTTTTATCAGCAAGAAATAGCTCCTTGTTCTAGAATTGAATAATCTAAGCTATTGCAGAGGTTCATCCATTGAATTGTAGTCCGATAAAAAGATAATTTCCAGTTGTCTAAAGAATCCCATCAAACATTATTGCCAGCTAGAATTATCACAAACAAGCATTGCAAATGCAAGAGCAAAACAACAAACTAGTTTTTTTTTTAATGATTATCAAGCATAAAAATACCGTTTCCTTCGTAGTCTCTAAATCAAGATATGGAGCAAGTTCTTCAGCTGTGACAACACCACCGTTCGATGCTATGTATTCTCCAATTGTTCCCTTACCAAAGACATAGCTTGTAACACGAACCTTACAACTAGAACAGTACCTAGAAACTAACAAAAAACCAACTCCCAAGGACATTCAAAAGGATAGCCGAAATAAACCGACATGCTGATGTGGACAAAAAAGCAACAATACCTGTGCAACTGTTCCAAAGTAGATTGACCATCACCCATTATAATTGAGATCAAAGTGATGCTCATTCATTCTCATTTCAAACACGACATTATCACAGGATAGATCATGCACTGTACATCTCTAGTTGTGCATACCATTTAAATATAGAACTTGATATTATAGTCCATTATAACAATCAAGTTAGGCAAAAATATATGCTATAAATGAATTTTCCTTGGTTAATCTATATCAGTAGTCAGCACCAAAGGACAAAATAAAACAACAGATCATAAAAATATAAAATTCAAAAACAAAATTAATTCAAAAAATAAAAGGCTGAAAAGTAGCGGAAGCACTGAAGATCATGGAGTTATTAACTAAACCCATGTCATTTTCGAACAAATTACCCTAAGCCCTAAACTTATTTCTCAAACCCAGGATGTGAAATACATTCAAAACAACTTGGGATTAGGGAAATCTGTTTCAAAATAACACGAGTTTAGTGATCAAACTCGTAGATCATACATAAATTTCTAAATCTACACATACATAACAAAGATCGGAAATACAAATCAAAGCAAAACCATCATCAATATCTAAAATTAAAAGTAAATAAAAGAATACCTGGTGGATGTATTCACAGAAAAATGTTAGATCTGCTAATCCACCACAATCACATTCAATTCAAGACTAGTAGTATCTTGATTGCTAATTGCTTTTTTTTTTTGTTTAAAACTGGGTATTTTTAAAACGAAAAAAAGTAAGAGAAGTCACAAGAACAAAGCAGAGAAAAGAAAACCCACTTACCAAAAAAGAACCAAAGCACCCTGTTTCAAGCCTCGTGGTTTTGATGAAGACTCCTCGTGCTAGCTAACGACAGCACAAGTGTACCTACTCAGCCCACACGTGACCTCTTCGAATTCTCGCTACTACCTCTGCTAACCCTAATGAGAGAGAGAGAGAGAGAGAGTGTGTGTGTGTGTGTGTGTGTGTGTGTGTGTGTGTGTGTGTGTGTGTGTGTGTGTTGTTTCAAAACTTAGGGCTCTTCAAACCTAAAAGGAAATGAAAAAAAATGGGGGAAAGACGGGGAAAAAATAGGGGAAATTAAGGTTTTGTTTGGTTTAGATTTTCGGAATATTTTTAATATTTTGATTTTCGGAATATTTTTAATATTCTTAATATTTTATTTTCTAAATATTTTTAATATTTTAATTATCTAAATATTTTTAATATTTTTAATGTTTATACAGGCCTAAAAAATTAATTGACAAAAAAATTAATTGACAGAAAATAATTGACATAGAAGTTGTTTGAAAAAAAAAATGATTTGAAAAAAAAAATATTCAAAAAAATTACTTAAAAACAATAAATTGAAAAAAAAATATTTTTTTATTTGAGTATTTTAAAAATAGTTTGGTTATGACTGTTGATCAAAAATATGGATATCGAGTTATGAGTTGTGTGTTTGATTATCAATTATAGGTTGAATTAAGTTTTGAAAACTCATTATCAAACAAATTTTTTTATTTCACATGTCACATCAAACTTTCAAAACTCAATTCCACATACAATTCAAAACTCAATTCAACACTCTATTAAAAAACCATAACCAAACAAATTTTTTGTAGTGGAGGAGAGGGAGCGACAATAGTGGTGAAAGTGGTGGATAAGAGGTGGTGGTGGTGGTGATGGCGAAGGAGATTAGTGATGAAGTTGTGGTAGTGGTATAGGAGATGGAGTAGCGGCGGTGGATGAGAGGTAATAGTAGTCGTAGTAGTGGTGGTAGTGGTAGTGGTAGTAGTAGTGGAGTGGTGGCGATGGTAGTAGTCATGGTAGTCGTAGAGGTGAAGTGGTGACAGTGGAAGTAGTGGTGATGGTGAAAGAATGGCGTTTTCAGTAATGGTGAATGTGGTAGAGGAGATGGGTGGCGAAAGAGAGAGATGAGTGAGAGACAAATAAAGGAGAGAGAGAGATAGAGAGAAAGAGAGACAGAGTGATGAGCGAGAGAGAGAGACAAAGTGGTTGCTAAAAGTGCATTTTCGTGTAGTGGATTAATAAATCAAGAGGGAGCTCAGTAAATAGAGAAGACGAGATGGAGAGAGTGAGCAACGCAAACATAGTGGGAGAGAGAGAGAGAGAGAGAGAGAGAGATAGAGATAGAGAGTGAGAGACAGAAAAGAGACAGGTAGAGAAGAAATATGGACGAGAGAGACAGAGAGAGATAGAGAGAAGAGAGATGAGCGAGAGAGACATGAAGAGAAAAGAGATGAACGAGAGAGACAGAGAGAAAGATAGAGAGAAGAGAGATGGGCGAGAAAGACAGAGAAAGATGAGAGATGAGAGAGATAGAGAGAAGAGAGATGGGCGAGAGAGATAAAGAGAAGAGAGATGAACAAAAGAGACAGAGAGAGAAAAGAGATGAGAGAAGAGATAGATGAGTGAGAGACACAGAGAGAGAAAGAGACAAATATACAGACAGACAGAGAGAGAAAGAGAAGAGAGAGATGAAGATGAAAAAATGGATAAAAAGATATAGACAAAGAGAGAGAGAGAGAGAAAAAAAAAGAGCGAAAATAGATAAATGAGAGAGAGACAGAGAGAGATGAGCGAGAGAGCAAGAGAGATAAAGAGAAAAGAGAGAGAAGAGAGATGAGAGAGATAAAGAGAAGAAATATGGATGAGAGACACAGAGAGAAAGAGAGAGAGAGACAGACAGAGAAGAGTGATGAGTGAGAAAGAGAAAGAGAAAGAGAAGAGAGACAGAGACATGGAGAGAAAGAAAGAGACAGACAGACAAAGAAGAGTGATGAGTGAGAAAGAGAAAAAGAAAGAGAAGAGAGACAGAGACATGGAGAGAAAGAAAGAGACAGACAGACAAAGAAGAGTGATGAGTGAGAGAGAGAGAGAGAGAGAGAGAGAGAGAAGAGAGATAGAGATAGAGACAGAGAGATAGAAAGATGAAAAAATTGGTGAAAAGAGAAATGTTCAAAAGAGTAAGACGACGTCGTTTTTTATTTTTATTTTTTTTTTGTAACAGAAAAATACCGTTGCATTTATTTAAACCATTTTATGACTATATTTATGAAGCCGTCTCAAAGCTACAATATATATATATATATATATATATTGTAGCTTTGAGACGGCTTCATAAATATAGTCATAAAATGGTTTAAATAAATGCAACGGTATTTTTCTGTTACAAAAAAAAAATAAAAATAAAAAACGACGTCGTCTTACTCTTTTGAACATTTCTCTTTTCACCAATTTTTTCATCTTTCTATCTCTCTGTCTCTATCTCTATCTCTCTTCTCTCTCTCTCTCTCTCTCTCTCTCTCTCACTCATCACTCTTCTTTGTCTGTCTGTCTCTTTCTTTCTCTCCATGTCTCTGTCTCTCTTCTCTTTCTCACTCATCACTCTTCTTTGTCTATTTGTCTCTTTGTTTCTCTCCATGTCTCTGTCTCTTTTCTCTTTCTCTTTCTCACTCATCACTTTTCTCTGTCTGTCTCTCTTCTCTTTCTCTTTCTCACTCATCACTTTTCTCTGTCTGTTTGTTTCTCTCTTTCTCTCTGTGTCTCTCGTCCATATTTCTTCTCTTTATCTCTCTCATCTCTCTTCTCTCTCTTCTCTTTATCTCTCTCGCTCTCTCGCTCATCTCTCTCTGTCTCTCTCTCGTTTATCTAAATATCATGAATATAGCACTTTTAGAGTTTTTAATCTTAAAACAATTGTATAATCCCAACTTAACAATTTACACAATATTCCTTAATATCAATTTATTTTTCTCAAAAATAAATTCAAAATCAAAGATAAAAAAAATAATTCAACTTTATATTTCTCAAAATAAATCATCTAATCATAATATGATGTAAATACAATCATACAACCTTGAAATTAAATTAAGGGTTTTTTTTTTTACAAAATTCAAACTCTGATTTTTTTTTTTTTTTGTAATTTCTCCTTAGAAAATGTGCACAATAAAGACATGCTCTGCCTTACCCAAATGCAACTTTATTGAAAACTTGTAAAGAAGCCTTGATGAATGACCTTGAAGACATATACATTTGATTCAATAAATAAATACGTGCAACTAGTTTTTCATGAGAGAGGGAAATTACTAAATACTATCTCTTGCAGGGTAATGCCATTTCCTTAGCCAAACACCATTCTGATCACACGGGAAGGAATTGAGGCTGGGACATTCTACTTTCTCCAAGTAAATCAACCTGGGAAACAAGCTCCTAAGGTCCATCCAACGCATCTGGAAGTCACTTAAGTACTTCAATTGCAACATTTCAACATTGGTAGCTACTATTTCGTCTAGCTTACACAATAGTCCTCCTCTGATGTAAAGTTTCTTCAAGTTCTTCAAATTGTTAGACCTCAACCAACTGGGTGTATCTATCTCAGGAAAACACTCAAGCTCTAATTTTTGCAACGATGAAGGAAGTTTCACTGAGAGAGGAAGTCCTGGATCATGCTGCTCAACAAATGATCTTGTCAGTGTTGTCCGCTTGAAAAATAGTTGTGCTTGCTTAGGTGAATCATCAATTTTACCTCGTAAAATGCATCCTGACCAAGATATTTTCAACTTCTCTAGGAATTTTAATCTTTGTAAATGACGAAGTTGCAGATCTGTTGGAAATTCTTTCATACTTGTGGATATGCTCAATTTTCGTAGCTTTGACAATTTTGTCAAATCATTGATAGTACATGACTTTTTGTCATTGGAATTTCCAATAATAAATCCCTTAAGGACTCGGAGATTAAATAGTGCACCAAGCCCCTTGGGCATATGATTTAAAAGGTAACACTCAGATATGTCCAAGTGTGTCAAATTCTTAAGCAAGCCAATCCAATCTGGAATCACCTCAAGATTGTGACACGCTTTGAGATCCAGAATCTGAAGCTTAGTCAGTTGCGAAATGAATTGAGGAAGCTCTGTAATCAAAGAAATTCCTCGAAGGCTAAGGAACCTCAATTGTTTCATATTCTTGAGTGCATTGAAAATTTTGATGTCTGGGACTTCAATGTGATGTGTGACCGAGCTCTGCCACCTTCCCAAGTAAGCAACTTCCAAATTGGTGCCCCTTTTGAAAATAATTTCATGTCTTCCATCAATAATAGCCGCATCAATGTTGAAGATGCATCTATTCCAATAGGCGAGGCATCGATCCGGAAAATAATCAAAACCAAACCACTCTGATTCAATGGTTAAAGCAGAACGAATGTAAGGGGGCATCCTGTAGCTATCCACAACCAATCCACAATTTTTGTAGATAGGCTGGATGAAGCCCGTTGCAGTAAGTGCATCCAAGATCTCGTCGACAGTATCCTCTCCCACATGCAACATCATAAAATCGTACAGATTTTCCCGTCCAATCCACCAGTAAATCATAAACCTCTTCTTTATGGTAGCCATTTCTGGGAAAATCCCGAAAACGTTCAAAACGTCTTGTAGTTTCGGGGGGAAGCTACGGCCAGACTCCTGGATAACTTCAGGTGCAGTGGTGTGATCAAACTGTGGCTGATTGTGCAAACTGTAGAAATTGCCGGCCTTGTTTACGTCGACTTGGTAGTTGCTGCTGCTACTGTTAATGGATCCATCAAACCATGGTTTCCGATGTGGTTTTGAATCATAATCATAACGGATTTTAAGCTTGGAGGGAATCTGGGATTTCAACTTCTTGACAGACATTTTCAGTAGGTCAAGTTCGTTAGTATCGCTCCCTCCTCTTGTTTTGAGCTTCTCAAATTTCTCACAAGCCTGGTTGATTTGCACATTCATATGATCTACAAACTTCTGAATCTCTGTCATGGTCTCTTTCATGAAATTAAGATCTCGACCAATCAAGTTAGTGAGATCAGGATCTGCAACTTGGTAGTCACCGTTGTTGTTTGTGGCGGTGGTAGTATTGTGGTGGTGGTTGTTAAGTGGATTTGGTTGGGACATACTACTGTCCATGCTTTGAAAGGAACTACTACCAAAAGAGGGTCGTGTTGGAGTCTTGGCTAGAGAGAGAGAGAGAGAGAGAGAGAGAGAGAATTGTAGAGAGAGGAAAAATTTTGTTCTATAATGTTTCCAGCCTTAAACCATGAGAGGGAGGCCTCCTATATATAGAAAACATGAATTCCTCTCAAGAATATCCAGCCCTACATGTGGGAGCAGATGCATGCATTTGTGAAAATAGCTGGCACATCTGTCACAAAATATCTGCAAAAGAAATTGAAGGCCGGCTGGCCATCACTGGTGGCTAGCTAGCCACTAATGTGGCCGGCAACCAAAAAGTGATAGTTGACAGCCCAAAAAGGTGGCCAGCAGGCCACCAAGGGTTACAGGCTTAAAGAACCAAGGCTTGGTCCAAGAATGAGGCAACAAAAGTGTAGGGTTTGAAGGGCTCAAAGCGGTGGCATTCCGCTGAAGACTTCAAGCACTTGACGAAAAAATAAACTCATCATCGGGTGTGTGTGCAATGGCATCCAAGTCGTAAGGGCCGTCAAAAATGGGGTGTCTACAGTTTCCCCTCTTTAACAGAACTCGGTGTAATGAAATGATTGAGTGAATGTCAAACCCCGAAGACAACCCACTTTGACAAGGCCATAAGACTTGGACAAACGATCAAGATATATATAAAAAAAAAAAATCAAGATAGAAGTAGATGGTTACACCTACAGGCTGCCTACGTATCCCTTTGCGAGGAATCAAACCAACATAGTTCTGGGGTAAGATGCAAATGATATGCACAATGCAACTTTAAAAGCTGGACTCACATACTATGCAAAGTCGGCTATTTTGAAAACTTATGATCATGCAAGATGAAGCAATAAGCAATAACAAATGCGATAAGCAAGATAACGAAATAACAACATATGAATGAGCAACTTCGAGTTAAAAACCAACACTGGTTCCATGCAAAAAGGTAAAACCACACTCTAACCACGCCAAAACAAGAGACGAGGAAAGAAAACACAGCTCAGGGTTACGTTTGACGCATCTTGAGAAACTGAGAAAACTGCTCGAGGTCGCATTTCATACGTCCCAAGATGAAAAACCGCTTGAGGTCACGTTTCACGCGTCCTGAGATAAAGACCAAAAACCACTCAGGGTTTCGTTTCATGCATCTTGAGACACTCTAATCACACTAAAATCGCGAGAAAAGGAAAAAACCGCTCAGGGTTGGATTTCACGCATCCTAAGATAAAACCTTCTCAAGATTGCATTTCACGTGTCCTGAGATACTCTAATCACGTTGAAATCGTGAGAAGAGGAGAGAAAACCGCTCAGGGTCACATTTCATGAGTCCTGAGATACTCTAATCACGCTGAAATCGTGAGAATTTAAAAAATAAATAATAATAATAATAATAATAATAATAATAATAATAATAATAATAATAATAATAAAATTAATAAAATTCTTGGAAAACAAGAAACCTAAGAAATTAAAAAAAAAAGAAATCAAACTAAATTAAGAAATCTAATTCTAAAATATTTATACTAAATTACAAAAATTCTAATTAAATAATATATAAAAATAATAATAAAATTAAAAATATAAAAATTTCTGAACTTTTGTCCTGGATTACATTTTTTATATGATGTAAGTCCAACGTATCGAATAATTTGTGGAGAAAGAGAGGAAAGTGACAAAGTAAGGACTGAGAAAAGGTGCAGAAGGCATAAGGAAGGAGCGGACCCGGTTGTTGAAGCCGCGTGGTTTCTGTGGTATCCAAAACTTCGTTGGTTTGTCATTTTCAAATTATTGAGATTAATGTAAAGGAGATTTTTTTTAAGATTCTTGATATTAAAATTTTATAAAATAAATGGCATATAATATTTTTATTATAGTTGGGATTTTTTAATATTTTTACAGAATAAGTTTGACACAGAAATTTTATCCCGATATAAAGAAATTTTAATTTTCATAGAAAAATTTCTTTGGTATGATCACAGAGAAATTTCATCAAGAAATCTTAACTAATAAAAAATATATATATTAGACTTCCCTTACTTTCCAAAATTAGAAAATGATGTTTTACTAATTTTCTATAATCTAAGAGTTGAAACAGCCAGCCAATTTCTTTTGCAAAAGACACTCTAAAATCTTTACACTATTTTTTTTTTTTTTGAACATATATCTTTACACTATTGTTTGGTAATTAATGTAAAGGAGATTTTTATAATTGAGATTAGTGTAAAGGAGATTTTTTTTAAGATACTTAATATTAAAATTTTATAAAATAAATGATATATAATATCTTTATAATTGTTGGGATTTCTTAATATTTTTACAAAAAAAATTTGACACTCGACACAGAGAAATTTTAATTTTTACAAATAAATTTCTTTGATATAATCACAGAGAAATTTCATCAAGGAATCTTAACTAATAAAAAATATATATATTAGACTTTTCTTACTATCCAAAATTAAAGAAGGATGTTTTACTAATTTTTTACTAAAATCTTTACACTATTGTTTGGTAATTGAAGAGAGAAAAGAAAAGAAATGATTAAATAAGTTATGAGAAAAAAGAAAAAAATTATAATTCCTTTATCTTTTTATTTATTTTGTTTGATAGATAACAGAAAAAAGAAAATAAGTTATATTAATTTCTCTGTAATGTTGTTTAGTTAAATTATAAAACAGAAAAAGAACAGAAATGATATACTGTTTTTTTACTAAATTAACTTGTTATAAGTGTTAGTCATTTTATTTGGTCTATATCTAAAAAGTTAATTTTAATATCATAACAAAATAATATTTGGGCACTATTTGGCATCCCCTAGAACTTTTTTTTTTTTATAATCTTTTTATCTTTTTTAGGTCACATCACCTCTATACTTATTTTACACATCTTTCATAAAAAAAAAATATACTTATATAAAACAGAAAAAGAACAGAAATGATATACTGTTTTTTTACTAAATTAACTTGTTATAAGTGTTAGTCATTTTATTTGGTCTATATCTAAAAAGTTAATTTTAATATCATAACAAAATAATATTTGGGCACTATTTGGCATCCCCTAGCACTTTTTTTTTTTTATAATCTTTTTATCTTTTTTAGGTCACATCACCTCTATACTTATTTTACACATCTTTCATAAAAAAAAATATACTTATTTAGATCATCGCAAACACCCTCTTGATAAGTTTCATTTCTCTTCAAATCTTTCCACTTTTGAAGAGATTGAAAATACGGGTTATGAGGTAAATGTGTTCCTCACCCTTTCTTTCTATTTTTCTCATATTTGACAATCCAAACAAGTAATTAAAATTTATTTCCCTCCATTTCTTTTTTTTTTTCTCTCTAAATCAATCAAACCAAACGAAGTATTAACAAAACATTTTTTTGACAAATTCATAAATTAGTCGTAATATTTATAAATTATTGTTCATAACATGACACAATATTTGTAAGGTAATCACAATTGGTACGTATGATTTTATTCTTCACAATTCTTACTTTATGTATATTATAAATTCACCATTTATAATTTTTATGACATAGTGACACAACACACCGCAAGCATACTTAACTTTTTTTCGCAAAATACAATAATCAATAAATATATTATAATCAATATTATTGTATTTTTTTTGCAAGATACAATAATCAATAATCAATAAAGACTACAATTTTTTTTCTTTATTTTTTATAAACCAAATGCTACTTTCTTGAAAAATTATAAAGAAGCCTTGATGGATGACCTTGAAGACATGGCATACATTTGATTCAGCAAATGAACATGTAGAGCTAATATTTTTAATGAGAGAAGGAAATTTCTATGTTGGAAAATTTGGTTTTTATAGGCTTATTTTGAGCCAACTTTGAGCCTAAAATAAAGAGGGCCCCATACGTCTTTTGAAGTGGGTCCAAAGAGGTGTTGTGTTCCTTACCGTATGAAGAGTCACACGGTGAAGACGGTTCATCAAAACCATTTATGAGTGAATGGGAACTTGACGTTCGTGGAATGGACATTTAAAGAATTAAATGTGGGTTTTCTTGAAATGGGTTGTCCCACATTGAAACTTTAAGAGAGCTTTTGAGTATATAAGCTCTAAGTGTACAACCTTGGGTTGCGCTCTAAGGGGCACCCCAAGTTTGTAAAAGGGAAGAGTTATGGACAAAGTAAACCTTAGCCCAAACCATCACACATGCGCGCCGCCGTCTAACTTGCCGTGCCGGGCGCAGGTGTGGGTCGGGTCAGTTCTAACATTAATTTTTTGGACAAAATTCATTTGAATTTTTTCAAAAATTCTTGTGGGAAAAATTAATTTGAATTTCAGAATGAAATTAATTTAATTTTGCGCCAAAATTTTTCTGTCCAAACAAACCTCTACCAGTCCAATCTCTACATGTTCAAACTATTCAAACAGTTCAGGAAAACTGCCCAGCAGTTTTTTAACTGCTGCAGTTAAATAGATCTGTTCAAAATTTGAAACTATCTGTTCAATTTCAAAACTGTACCTATTCGGCAGTTTGCATACCTGTTCGGAATTTTTGAATAGTCACCATTGGCCCAATAAATACCATGGCATTCCAGCAGTTTTGGGGGATTCCGAAAATTAATTTTCTTTGCCTTCATTTTGCTCTCTTGTATCAACTTATTCTTTATATTATTTTAGGGAAATTTTGGAGAGTATAGAACACAAGTTTTGTTCGCCGTACAAATTGTTTGGAGTGCTACTACAATTTGTAAATATCATTGTATCCCAGGAGATAGACGCCATTGTCCGTAAGCACTGTAGCGGGACGAATCTGTCTTAAGGACAGAGTGTCACACACTCGACTTGATCTTTTTATACTTATACATTTCGGTAAAATAAATTCTGTAGGTAAT